AAGGGACGATATCAAATTTTCGACTTTTGTTAGAATGGATACCCTTCTCATTGAACAGCACTTTTATTGAGAGAACCAAACACAAAGCGGTGCCAAAGAGGAATTTTATGGAATGGGCGAAGTGACCTAAAAGGGGAGGGCTGAGAAGTCCGGAGCGATTTTCTCGCTTACTACGGCGAATTATTTGCCTTATTGGGGAATAGCTTAGTTGGAGAGTTGGCTATCATCACTGATAAGAATTTAAATTCTGGGTTTTGCGCGGACACTCCCTTTGAATGTGCTTCTAGAATGGGCCAATCTTTCTGAGGTATAGGGGGACTCTCAATAGAGATCGGACAGAAGGAAGCGTTTGGAAGACAAAACCTCGTTGTTCATTTCTGCAGTCGTTGTGCGTGAAAAAAATGGAACTCTCGCTGTAATCCTTATAGAATCGTTTTCGAGCAAATGGCTGAACGGTTTGTCAACAACAGAGCAGCTGAATGCGTCATAAGCGTATCAGTGACTGCTTTGTTGACATATTTCTCGCAATGAGTGCTAAACTTCATATTTCTAGCTTTCAAACAAACAGCGAAGTTATATCTTAGCGCTGTCAGTTTCTAGAATAAGACGGCAAAGTGGTATTGTGGCGGCTGGCGCCCGGCGATTGAGAATCGCTTCTAGGAACTCAAATGCAGTAACTATTATTGTTGGTGTGTTTTATAAACGTCGGCGACCGAAGTTTCACCAGTTGTGCCTTGGCGGATTTTCTGCTAAGAATTGATTATTTTGCTTATCTTTCAATACTGTAGTCTATGAATTCTAGGTTCTCAGCTCATCATCACAGTCTGCATCAAGTAGTGGTGCCAAATATGGAGGAGGTTCTGGAAAAACATGGATTCATCCGCCAGGTTAGCCACACACCTTTATTAAATCTTACGGAATCTCGAATGAATAACATCGGTACATGTAGTCTTAAAAAGTTATCATTGTTCAAATATATTTTCATAACCTGATTTGAGGTGGATTTTTTTTGCATGACGTTTCAAAGTTTTCCTTTTTTGAAAACTTAACGGGCAGGAATTCGGTAGAAACCCAAACCGTTTCAAAAGTTGCTGAAATCTCATAAGTCAAGTTGAAACAGTTGACTTCAAGGTAACTTTGTGTTTCAAACCTATATTTGTCTAGCAATGCAAATTTTCTCGCCTGTGTTAGCCATGTGTTTCCTAATTGACAAGTCAAAGATTTTAGCTGGTAGGCAACACTTGCCATTGCAATAACGATCATTAGTTTCACTTGATACCACAATGATATTGTTCACTAGACAAGTTATCTGAATTCAGTTG